CCAGCTCAAACCGCGTGATCTCCCTCACAGCACCCTTCTCCTTCGCCTCGCACGCGTTTGCAAACGCGCCAAAGTTGCGCCGCCCCAGAAGCCTGGCGCCCTCCGCCATGCGCCCCCGGTCCAGCAGGCCCCGGGTGTAGCTGAGGACGGTGGCGCGGCGGTGCGGCAGCAGGTGCGGCACGCGGGAGTTGAGCACGCTGTAGTGGTAGCGCTTGCCCACGGGCAGCAGGCGCGCGTGGAAGGAGCGGGCACAGGGCAGGGAGCGCACACGGATGGCCGGGGGAGCAGGGCGTTGAGGGCGCGGTGCATGCGTGGAGGTCGCATATGGGGGAGTGGTGGTGAAGTGGGCTACCTGGGAACGGAGGGAGGGACGGGAAGGAGTGCGCAGAGGAAGAGAGTTAAAAGCGCACACTTCCCTGCAGATCCAAAACCATCCATCCAGACAGAGGCAGTGCGTCACAATCACTAGCTTCTCCCTCGTCACCTCGTCCCTCGTCACCTCGTCCCTTGTCGCGCCCTCGCGTCCCATCTGACCGCCTGCACATCCGCGCTCCACCTTTCCCTGCCTGTCTCCGGACATAATTCCAGTGAGCGCAGTTAGGAAGTCGGTTTAGCAAGTAGGAAAAACAGTTTGTAAAAACGCTATGCTTATGTAACCGAGAGTGTTTAGGAAATCAGGAGCTCTTCTCTGTCCACCCACCCAGCCCCTACCCAGCCCCTACCCAGCCCCCTACCCAGCCCTGCATGCCCTACGCGCCTGCACCAGCATGCCTGCATGGGGCAGCAGCCACGACTTACCCCTCACCCACCACCCCAGCACCCCAGCAGCAGAGCAGCGGAGCAAGTGAGCAGCCAGCAGCGCTCACCTGCCCCCAGGCATGCACACCAGCGTCGTGCGCGAGGCCCCCAGCACGGCCAGCGCGTCGCGGCTCTCCTTGGTGTACGTCCCAGCGCCGCCTCCACCGCCCTGCACCGTGGGGCGATGCGCCTGCCGCTGCCAGCCTGGACTGCAGGGAAGGGGACGGTGCGGGGGGAGCAGGAGGGGCGACGGGGAGCAGAGAGAATGGCGGTGAAGAGGTGTCTTGGCCGTCCCTCTCCTTGGTGTGTGTCCCTAGTGCTGCCGCCACTGCGCCCTGCACCACCGGCGATGCGCCTGCCGCTGCCAGCCTGGGGTGGAGGGAGCGGGAGGGGGCCAGAGAAGGAAGAAGAGAGGAGAGAACGCCTCTGCTGCTCCTCTCCTTGGTGTGCGTATCCCGCGCCCCCTCCACTGGCGCCCTGCACCATGGGCCACTGCGCCCGGGGCTGCCGCTGCCAGCCTGGACGGGAGGGAGAGAGAGGGGGAAGGGCAGAGGGCAGGAGATCGGGGAGAAGGGGGAAGGAGAGGGCGAGGGTGAAGAGGCGCCACTGCTCTCCCTTGAGCCGCCTCAACTGCGCCGTGCATAAGGGCTGGTGGGCATGGCAGGGGGGCATGGAAGGGGGGCATGGAACTTGTGTGCTCGTTCGTCTCTGCTCTCCACCGCTCACCATAAATGTATGTGTCGTCATACGCCACCATCAGCATGTGCATCAGAGTGAGTCAGTGACATGCCACCATCACATGCCATGCCACCATCACATGCCACCATCACATGCCACCATCACATGCCACCATCACATGCCATGCCACCATCACACACCAACGAGCCCTCTCACCGTAGAAGTCCGTGCCGTCGTACGCCAGCACCATCATGTATTTGAACCGCGCCGCGCAAATGCCCCCAGCGTCACCATTACTGCTGCCACACTTGCCCTCCACATCCCCCTCCCATCCGCCTCCCTCTGTTTCCGCCTCCTCCCCATCTCTCCCACTCTCCCTCCCTCCGCTCCCCTCTCCCGCTCCTTCCTACCACCCCCCGGCTCACCGCCCTCCACCCCCTCCTCGCCCTCCACCCCCTCGCCCTCCCCTCGCCTCCTCACATCCCCTTTCCTCCACCCCCGCGCTCGCCGCTATCCTTCCCCCTGTCCTCCGATGCGCTTCTCGCTCTCCAACGCACCACCGCTCACTCCCCCAAGCGGCTGACGTCATTATCCGACCCGCCACTTCCCCACGCCACGGTATCCCGCCAACTTTCGGCGCCGCCAGCTCTGGAGTTGGTTCGGCTGTTCGACGTGGCAAGTAGCCATTGGCGGCAAGGCGTGATCGGCGCGAAAGGAGAGGGCATTTGGGAGAAATCGCAGGGGGGAGGCGAGAGAGAGAACGAGGGGCATTTTGCGATGCACGCGCGGCGAGAGAGGCACGACGTCAAGCCAAGGCGTCACGTGCGCCGTCGTCTCATCCTCGTCACTGAGCTCATCACTACAAGCGGCGGAAGTCGCTGGAAAAAACGCGGCGAACCTGCGGCAGTATCGATCGCGCAGGTCGCGGCAGCAAGGGGCAGCGCACGGGCCGATAATGCGTCCTCGCGGTCAGAGGCAGGTGCAGTGTGGCGGGGCGAGGGCCACTGGACCCGAGTATGCGGCGGAGGGTTGAAGGCGGCAGACGGCTGTCTCTCGCGATGTCGACGCGCGGCGAGGTGCACGGACGCCGCGTACGTCAGCTGCGTGGGATGGCAGGGGTGGTGCGGCGGTGCGGTGCGATGGCGCTGCTGGTCGGCCGGATCATGCTTTGTGCGTCATCACCCCCCCCCCTCGTCCATGTCTCAACACACCACCCAGTAAACCCCTTCCAAAACCTTGTTCGATATCGCTTGCGCTAACATTTCACAAAATGGGAACCAAAACTCTACAAGCTTATATCAGCGCTTTGAATATCGAGGATCTGATTTTTGAAGATCCCGGGGCCGATTTCTTTTAGCGTTGCCTGCAGACTTTCGCTTATCGTCACGTCAACAGCTCGACAGTCGCGTGTTACATCGGTTGAGTTCGGCGAGCGGTCAAACTAGAGTGGTTCTGAGTTTTATTTTGCCATTTGATGGCAACCTGTCTTAGTACGTGTGACGAAACTCGAGGGGTCCGTTGCGCCGAATTTCGTGTCAAAATCTGGTCCTTGTGTACTCAACATTCGCAACAATGCTTCCTGTGGAGGGGAAGTATCCGCTGGATGGGTACTATCAAAACATTTCGCATCCCAGTATCGATTAGGGCTACCTCATGTGACTTCCCGCTGTTTTTCATTGTAGTCGTGTGAAGTATTGCTTCGTTTCATGTCTCCTGGCAAACTTTTGCGACACGTGTCTATTTGATAGCCGAGGGAGGTTGAGCATCATTACGGGCAAAGACAGAAATAAAACCCATGGGGGCCTCCATGCCATTCGAATATGGGTAAACCCTAAACTCGCGGCCCTTCAGCGAGTTAAGGGTTGATGTACGGCCCTACCTATGGGTAACACTGTTTTTCGTCTCTGCCCGATAACAATGCTCCGAATTCGGGTGTTGGACACGTGTCGCAATTTTTTGCCAGGAGACATGAAACAAAACAGTACTTCACATAACGAGAATGAGAAACAGCGAGAAGTCGCATGAGGTAGCTCGAATACAGACTCCAATGCAAAATGTTATGGTAGTACCCATCCAGCGAATACTTACCGGTCTGTGGATGTCGAATTCCCTCACCAGCAGACAGTGAAGCAGCACGCTGGGAGAAGCCGCCATCGCACCTCAACCGCACAAGCCCTACAGAACGGATGCCCGTGCCGCATCCGCTCCCGCGCCTCCACTATTTCCCCGAATTCGCCCCTCAGATCCGCCATTGCTGCGTGCCCCTCCTCATCAGCCCCAGCGCTCCGCCCCCTCACCCTCGTCGCGCCGTGCGTCGTTGCGGTGACCGCATCGTCGCGTCATGGATCCGCCTCAGCCGCTCCACCCTCGCTTCCGTCTCTCCCGCGCCCTCTCTCCTCTCATGTCGCTCTTCATAGTCCTCCTTCTCTTCCTATTCGCCTATCCTCCCCCTCCCCTCACACCGCCCCGTTTCCCCGCCGCCTTTCCCTCCACCCGCTCGCCTCCCTCTCCTCTCCTCTCCTTCCCCTCTCGTCTCCCGCCGCCCCCACCGCTGCTTCCATCCCCACGGCGCGCCAGCTGACACGTCAGCGTGCTGAGCTGGCAGCATTCTTCCACGTGGGCGTGAACACGTTCACGGATCGCGAGTGGGGCACGGGCGGCGAGAGCCCCTCGCTCTTCAACCCCGCGGCGCTCAACGCCACGCAGTGGGTGGCGACGGTGAAGGACGCAGGCTTTAAGGTATGCTCGTAGATTGGGGGCTTTCGTGTGTATGCGTAGGGAAAGCCCGTCGCTCTTCAACCCCCGTGGCGCTGTGCAACGCAGTGCGCGGAGACGGGGAAGGAGGCGGGTTCCGGGTGACGCTGGGTCCGACGCAATCAAATCGTGCGCCGCACGGGGTGGGACCCTTGGCTCTTTCACCCTTGGCGCTGAAGGAGCCGAGTTCCAACGCACTGCGCAATGCATGCCCCATGCCCGTGCTCCATGCCCCGTGATCCATGCCCCGTGCTCCATGCCCCGTGCTCCATGCCCCATGCCCCTGCCGCGTGCCCCGTGCCCCATGACGCATGCCCTGTACCCCATACCCCATGCCCATGACCGATGCCCCATGCCCCATGCCCCCATCAGCTGGTGGTGCTGACAGCCAAGCACCACGACGGTTTCTGCCTGTGGCCCTCCGCCCTCACCAGCCACTCCGTGCGCTCCGCGCCCTGGAAGGCCGGCCGGGGAGACGTTGTGGCTGACGTGGCAGCAGCGGCCCGGGCGGCGGGGGTGGGGATGGGGCTGTACCTGTCGCCGTGGGACCGGCACGAGGCAGCGTACGAGGCGGGCGCGGAGGCGTACAACGCGTTCTATGAGGGGCAGCTGCGGGAGCTGCTCACCAGGTGAGTGGGGGGGAGGCAGATAAGGTGAGGTGGAGTCTCAAGGGGCCGAGAGGGCTGGCCACATGGTGTGGAGCTGAGAGGTTGTTGACACACAATGGAGGGGGAGGGGAGGAGCAAGGCAGGCTGGAGTGGGACTTGTGTTGTGGTAGCAATACGCTCATGCGAGAGGGCTGTAGTGGCTTGCAGCGAGAACGGGCCAGTCCACAGTGGTCATTGGGAGCGCTGAGACGGCTGGTGATTCGGTCAGTGGATTTGCACGCGGAAAGCATTATTCCGTTCAGTCCTGCCCGCCCTCAATGTCTCTTGCAAACTTCGCCCTCTTTGTCATTCTCTTTCTCTCCACCCCTCTCACTCTCTCGCACCAATCCTTCGTCCCAATCAGCGATGGGCCAATAGCAGAGGCTTGGCTGGGTGGCGCCACGTCTTGTTGGAGGCACCTCAAACAAACGCATTGCCCACTTTCTCTCCCCTCAACGCCCTGCCCCCCTTCCGTCCCAACCACCAGCTATGGCCCCATCGCAGAAGTCTGGCTGGATGGCGCCAAGGGCGACGACCGCCCCATGGCGTACCACACGGTCACGTGGCAGGCGCTCATTCGCCAGCTGCAGCCGGCGCCGCTGTGTTCTCAGCGCAGGGCCCCGACCTGCGGTGGACCGGCAACGAGCGTGGCGAGGCGGGCAGCACGTGCTGGGGCACGGTGAACGGCAGTGAGCTGACGCTGGAGGGGTGGGACACAGAGTGAGTGGGGGAAAGGAGCGGGTCATTTGGGCGGGTTGTGAGCGCAGGAAGGGGGCGGGCGGGCGACGAGCTGGGGGACGGTGAATGGGAGCGAGCTGACGCTGGAGGGATGGGACACAGAGTGAGTGGGGGGGAATGAATGGTGGCGATGGATAGCAGGGATTTGGTATGAATGAAGCGCATGGGTATGAAACGGATGTGCTTTGGTGGTTGCTGAAAAACATGGGCGCCCTGTCGAGTGGCCAGCTCTCTTTCCTGCTGTCACCCTGCACCATTGCACGCCCCTGGTGCGCCCCTGGTGCACCCCTGGTGTGCCCCTTGCGCGCCCCTTGTGCGCCCCTTGTGCGCCCCTGGCGCGCCCCTTGTGCGCCCCTTGTGCATGGTTAGGACCTCGGCACAGTTGTATTGCCACGTACATCCTAGGGGACACCGCAGCCTTCGCCTCCACATCCCTGCCGCACACTTTCCTTCATGCCTCATTTCCCTTCCCACCTCTTCTCCTCCGTCACGCAGCTACCTCAACCACGGTGACGTGGCAGGTGTGGATTGGATCCCGCCCGAGTGCGACGTGTCCATCCGCCCCGGGTGGTTCTGGCACCCCTTGGAGCGCCCCAAGCCGCTCGCCCACCTGCTGGACCTCTACTTGGCGTCAGTGGGGCGCGGGTGCTGCCTGCTGCTCAACATCCCCCCCAACACCACGGGGCTGCTGCACGCAGAGGACGTGCAGCGAGTGGGCGAGTTTGGGCGTGCGGTGCGGGGGCTGTTCCAGGAGGAGGTGAGCGCCGGGCACGGGCGTGGGCGAGCAGTGTGTACGGGTGCGGTGGGGTGGGGAGGGAAGGTGAAGGGATGGGGGTGGGATTCTGGCGGTTATGGAGGGGAGGGGGGGGGGAGGGGCGAGTACGGGCCGGAGAATGTGCTGAGGGCGGGAGACGGGGACTTTCTGGGCAGCGGAGGATGGGGTGCTCTCAGCGGTTCTGGAGTTTGACCTCGGGCAGGTGAAAAGTTTCCATGTGGCTCGCCTTGAAGAGCCGGTCGCATACGGGCAGAGAATAAAAGCATTTTCCGTAGAGTTTTTGGATGATGGTACTGATGTGGATGCTGATGCAGCTGTAAGTGTGCCTGCGTTTGAGTCACAACTTTCTATTGGCAGCAGCAGCGCTGCTACTGCAAGCACAGTGCGCCACATGGCTCTGCATGTGGTGCAACTGGTGGGGCGACCTGTGGGGCAGTGGTGGGGGCAGGGATGGGGCCAGAGGTGGGTCCTTGACTTCATGCTTCGCCTAACGAACCAGAGAGCGGAAGCGTCTCACAATCCCCGTGCCCCTGCGAGTGTGAGGCGGACTATGCAGGATGTGGGGGGAGTGTGGAGGGTGGTAGTGAACGGGACAACGGTGGGAAGGAAGAGGCTGGCTCGGTTTGAAGCCGTGAGAGCAAGGCGTGTGAGGGTAGTGATTCACGACGCCAGGGCTGCTCCGCTGCTCTCTTTCTTTGCGATCTATAGGAGCGGTGATGGGAGTCCTGAATAATATGTTGTTCACGGGTAAAGTCTGTCGTAACGAGAGAATTTAGGCTAGGTAGGAATAGGTGAAGCCATGAATATGGCGTGAGATCTAGATCTAGGAGGTAGGCGAGAATGTTGAGAGAAAAGAGAACTAGGAAAGAAGAGAGAGGGATACAAGGAGGGGTGTTGTACCTTCTACAGTAATGTTCAGTAACATCTACCAAGCCTACATTTATATAATAACCTATATAATCTAACAATGTCTTAGCAGTGTACATAGACTCCTTATGGTCACAACTAAGCGCCCACTTGATGCGAAGTACATGAATCACATCCTGAAATAGAGTGCTTCACCTTGAGGATGAGAAAAGGTTGTCATGGGGATTTATAGCATCTTCTCCACCACCTTGAACATTGATACTGTTAAATGTAATTTTTTGAAAGTGTGTAACACTTTCTAAAAATGTGTATTGTGAGAGTGTAGCGAGGGCCAACGCAGCAAGGCAGCGACGAAGCGCTACTCACCCTCTTTTGCCTACAAAAGAGGGACGTGAGGCCATTCAGCCTCACCCACGTTCTTCATTTCTAGTTTCTCTAGTTCAATTTCCGCAGTTTCTCGTCCAACCTGGCGAAGACCCAGTCCCTCCCCCGAGGCAAGGCTCCGACGACGCTCCTCACCGACATTTTGCAGCACAACCTCGCTAACATGGCGTCGGCGAACACGACTCCGAATCGTCCGACGAAACAACCCCAACAATTCCGTGGAGCCCGTAACTTCGGCCGGGGCAACCGCCCATCGCCAGAAACGTCATGCTGAGGAAATTTTTGGCGAGGGTCCCTCGGCTGTCGAGGTCCTGCTTGGCGCCAATCGCGCTGCTCCAGGCAGCCGCGCGAGCTGCCAACGGAGGACCACGCGCCTGCGCACGTCGCGACGGCTGCAGGCCACGCGGGCCCCACCGAGCACACGCCCTTTCACGAGGTCGTGCCAGCCGCCGCCGCCCCCGCGTTGACCGCACAACAGCTCCAGGCGCTTTTGGCGCTGTTATACCAGCAGCCGAATGTTACGCTCGGAACATCTTCGGACAATATAACTGCTACGACCAATTTCGCCAAGAAGAAAGAAATGCCGCCACCTACTCGCGCGCCGAAAGCTCCGCGCGTCGACAACCAGCCCCCGGCACCGACTCCCGCACTCGCCAATGACACCGACGACAGCGACGACTCTGAAAACGATGATGGTGAGGCTCCTGCCAATATTGCTCGCCATCGCATTCTCGCCCCCGCCCCCCCTCTTCCCCCCTTGGTCCACGCCCCAGCAACTACCTTCATGCGTAAGGGCGTGCGCGACTAGGCCGAAGTCTTCACTGCTATCCAAGCGCACCTGCAGCACATCGACTTCGAGCTGCAGCACGGCAACGTCACCCGGCGCACTCAACAACGTGAAACACATCGAGACGCTTATTAATAAGCGTTTCGAGGTGCTTCTCGTGGCGGATGAGGCCGGCTTTGAGGCTGCTGATCGCTTCCAGCTCTACTAGTCCAAGAGTGTGCTGACTTCCCGTTCCTACAAGCTGGCGGTCGCCGACGTGGCTGCACTCAAGCGCGCACGCGCCATCTACCCCCGTGGTGGTTGTCCCGGCGGCCGTGACGGAGAAATGGACCTCAAAGGCTCCCCCCCTCTCACGTGCCAGCAGCCACGCTTCAAGGGCGTGTGCTTCCGCTGTGGCCAGCCAGGTCACATGGCTAACGCATGCCCCATGGGCAGGCGTGGAGCACAAGGCCCCTCACCGGTGGTGTGAGCGGGGGTAAGGGCGGCGCCCTTCGCCAATATGCAATGAGCATATTGGGCTGCACCGGGGGTGCATGGCTGGTGGCCGGCCTTAGGACAAGGCAAATGGCCTAGTAGACTAGGGCAGCCCTAGGGGCAGAGAAGGCCGTGAGCCTAGAACCTTGTGTTATTCCATGTATGGATCATGCACGCCGTTATGGCGCATTGAAACTAAGATTGGGAAAAAAAAAAAAAAAAAACTTTTGCAAGGCCTCGATGAAAGAGAGAAAGAGAGAGCGCGAGAGAAACAGAGAGAGAGCGAGCGAGAGAGTGAGAGAGAGAGAGAGAGAGAGAGAGAGAGAGAGAGAGAGTGAGAGAGAGAGAGAGAGAGAGAGAGAGAGAGAGAGAGAGAGAGAGAGAGAGAGAGAGAGAGAGAGAGAGAGAGAGAGCCCATGGTATATAAGGCTCTTCCACCCATCCTAGAGTTCATTATTTAGTTTTGAGTTGAGTTCTTCATCCGGTCCCTGCAGCGGCGCTCGCGAGAGCGAGAGAGAGAGAGCGAGAGAGAGAGAGAGAGAGAGAGAGAGAGAGAGAGAGAGAGAGAGAGAGAGAGAGAGAGAGAGAGAGAGAGAGAGAGAGAGAGAGAGAGAGAGAGAGAGAGAGAGAGAGAGCCCATGGTATATAAGGCTCTTCCACCCATCCTAGAGTTCATTATTTAGTTTTGAGTTGAGTTCTTCATCCGGTCCCTGCAGCGGCGCTCGCGCCGGCGGCCTTCGGCCGCTGTCGCTCGCGGCGCGGCCTCCGGCCGCGCAGGAGGGCAGAGAAGGGGCGGGGATAGGGATCCACTCCAAAACCAGGGACGTTACAGCATACAAGCATGCCTCTACAGGGGGCTGCAACCTAGCAAATAGCCTATGGCTACAGCGCCACCCACGGCGCACGATGAGGGGGACCTGGCCTACACGCCGGACAACCGCCCACCTACTACACCTCCAAAGCCGACGGCGGGACAAGGGCCCCGGCCCGACTCTCCAACGCCCGAAGCACTGCCGCGCAAGCGGCCAAGATCGCCGGGCGCTGATTCGCCACGAGCGACCGATTCAACTCATCAACGGCGCGAGGAGCGGGATCCAGCTCCCCCGCCTCTGCTCCTGGCGGCAACCCATAGGCCAGCCGCCAGAGGAGTAGCGACGCGGCCTCCATCGCGCGCCGCTGCTGGCGGCGAGACATCGCGGGCCGCCACGACCGACCCGCCTCAGGCTTCCGTGGAGGCGCCTGCAATGGCGGTGGGCGGAGACAATCCAGCACCTCCGCCACCGCGCCAATACACGCGACGACGCCGGCCATCGCCTCTACCGGCGAGAACGCGTGCGGCGACGCCAGGCGGACAGGCGGACGAGGAACCGGCGGCGGGTCGCCGAGCACATCCACTGGTGTTGGCGGCATACCCCGCCCCACCCGCAAACCCGTCTCCTGAGGACGACCGGAGAGGGGCGGAGGGGGATCCCTTCGTCTTCCGGGCACTGCAGTCGGAGGTGACCCTGCCCGAGAGCCCGTCGCAGCGCCCCCGCGGGGACGTTTCATCGGACGAAACGGCAGGGGCGGAGACCCCGCGGACACACCCTGACCCGATACGACGCCGCGTCCGACAGCGGCTGGTGGTCCCGCTGGTGATTTCGGAGGAGGCAGAGGGGGCGGCTGGAGAACCCCGCGGGGAGAGGAGTCGGGACCACCGGCGAGCCCCCCCGATGGAGGGGGAGCCAGAGGGGCTAGAGGGGCGGGAAGAGGCGACGGCGGAAGCCGAGACGGAGACGGAAACGACGACGGCTGAGCTGGCGACGGGGCAGCTGGGCGACGCGGGGAGCGATCCATGGGACTTCCCCCGAAACCCTCCCGCCCAATCGCCAGCGCGGGCGCATGCGACGGCGGAGAACACGCCACCCGGTCGCCAACAGCGGACCGAGGCAGCCGCAGGAGCTGCTCGAGGGCGCCCGCGATCGCTGCCACCTGGGCCTGCTGCTGCCGAAACTCCAAGCGCAGCTGAGACGTTGGCGACAGAACCAGCGAGACGCCGGAAGGGGAACCCACCGGCGACGGGGACGCCTCCGCCTCACGTAGGGGCAGGCGCGAGGGGGAGAAGAGCAACCCCTGCGTCATCTCTAGCGCAGCCGGAAAGACGCGCCCCGCACACGCGAGCCACGGCCCGCGCAAGTACAACCGCGACCCCGGGGAGGGAACGGGCGAGAAGCACAACCCGAGGGCACAGAGGAACGAGGGGCGGACGAGGGCTCGGGCGAGCGACGACAGGCGCTGCAACCTTCCGCGGCGTCGCCGCGCGTCTACAACGCGACGATCGGCGACGGGGAGCACACCCAGCCGCTGCAGCAAACGACGCTAATTTGGCGACGGAGTCAGAAGCGGGCGTAGACGGAGGAACGGACCGAGGGATGGAAAATCGGCTAAGTGCGGGCACTCCAGTTGCAGACACACCACGAGGAGGAGCTACGATGGGAGCAGCAGAAGGGAACACGGAGGGAGCTGATGACGAGGACGATGAAATTCAAAACGCAAACGACCCCACTTATACCCCCCCAATCGGGGTAAACTGGGAAGGCGCCCCAGACGAGGGAGATTTGGAGGACTCCCCCGCCCGAGACGCAAATGTGCGGCCCGGCCAACCCAACCGACGAGCCGCCACATCCAACACCCGCCGCGGCTCGACAGTCGCCCGCAGACCAACCCCTGCAGCGCGGGTACTACCCCCTCTGGCGTTGGCGAAGAACGACGAACTCTTCGCCAAAGTATGCGAGTGGGACATGACCGTGCTCCGCGACTCCAGGCTACCACCCCTGGCACGTCGCCTACCGCGCGAAATCCTGGCGGAATTCGCGTCCTGCATGCTGACACCGCTGCTACACCTCGCGCGTAACAGGGACAGCGAAGGAGGTTGGCGCCTGTTACTCCTCCTCCCTCGCCTGACACTCGCAACCACGTCAACGAGGAAGCCGGACTGGAACGGAATGTTACGACGCTGTCGCAAATTCGCCACCGGCGCCTGGGAGTCACTGTACGACGAGGCCGTGACCTCGATTTCATCACCACGACCCCCACGCCACACGAATGACACCGCCGGGCACTTAGCCCGAGCGGAAACACTCACTAAGCGCGGGAACCTGCGGAAGGCCCTCCAGGCCCTGGAATCCACCCCGGTGTGTGAACCCACCCTGGAGACACTCAACGCCCTCCGAGACAAACACCCCGCCGCCGAACACGCCCTCCCCAACTGGGCGACATTCCTAAGCACACCACCCACCGACGCCATTACAGCGCCGCAGCAGCCGCTACTCACCATCACCCCACGAGAGCTCAGAACCGTACTACGACGGAGCCCGAATGGGGTCGGGGCGGGGCCAAGCGGTATGTGCTTTGAACATCTACGGGACGCAGCCGCCTCGAACGCTGACGTCCTGAACCTGCTCACAGAAGTAACCAACGCGGCACTCGCAGGGCAAGTGCCGCTAGAGGCGGCGGACCTCCTCACCACCTCGAGACTGCTGGCATTCACCAAACCCGACGGCGGAACCAGGCCCATCGCCATCGGCGAATGCCTACTACGCCTCTTCGGCAAGGCCAGCCTGCACCTCACGACGGCCCTGGCCCAAGCCCACTTCGCGCCCCTGCAGTTCGGAGTGGCGATGAAAGGAGGGGGCGAGACGGCGGTGCACGCAACAAGAACCCACCTCGAACAACACCCCGAGCACCTCCTCCTCCAGGTGGACTTCTCCAACGCGTTCAACTCGGTTGAACGCATCGCCTTCTTCCGCGCCCTACGCGACAGCCCTCTCAAAGGGCTGCTGCCCCTGACCCGCCTCTCCTATGGAAGGCCATCGAGCCTGCTGCTCGACCACGCGTTCGGTGCTGACCCGCTCGTCAGCGAGCGGGGCGTACGGCAAGGTGACCCACTAGGCCCCATGCTGTTCGCCCTCGCCCTCCACCAGGCGCTGACCACGACAGCAGAGGAGTACCCTGACGTCCTCATACTGGCATACGCCGACGACGTGACCGTCATCGGCCCGCCGCCGGCATGCGCAGCTGCCTTCTACGCCCTCACAGGCCGGGCAGCGGCGGTTGGACTCACCTGCAACGCCAGCAAGTGCGCGGCCTGGTCACCCGCACCGGTGGACCCCGCGCTCATCCCGGTCGGAGTACCACTTACCCACTACGCAATCAAGGTCCTGGGCAGCCCCATCGGCACCACCCACGGATGCGGGGACATCATCCGCCGCACGCTCGAAAAAGCGGCAGCGGCGCTCCCCCTGGTGGAGCAACTACACCCGCAGGTCGCGCTGCTGCTCCTCACCCGCTGCATCACGAGGAGGGCATCCTACCTCCTCCGCACCACCCCCACCAACCTTCTCCCCCCCGAGGAATGGACGCAGTGGGGGAAGTCCCTGCTGGTAGCAGCGCTCAAGTCGTGCGAGCTCCAGCAGCCACGGGACGCTGAAGGCCGAGACCTCCTCTGGCGACAGGCAACCCTGCCGATCACCATAGGAGGCCTCGGCCTCATTGACCCCGCCACGGAAGGCAGCTACAGCTACCTGGCCTCCGCACTACAGGCCGGTGACCTCCTCCGCTCCATGGAACCCCCTGACCCCTCACCCCTCGCCGACCTCCTCCACCTCCTCACTCCGCCCTTCACCGCCGAAACGCCCCTTCACCACCTGCTCAACGGCCTGGCAGCGACACTCCCCAAACCAGCGCAGCCAACACTCACCCGCCCGCGCGACGAACCCGGCACCAAGCTCCAGCATGCCCTAGCACTGGAGGTACATGGGGCCAGGCACGCACGGCTAGTGGCAGACTCCAGGTACATGCCACTCAACCCCCTCCTGGGTCACACCCAGCGCCTCCTCTCCCTGCTCGGGCCAGGGGCAGGGGACTGGCTGGTCGCCATCCCCTTCTCCCCGGACCTATGCATGAGCAAGGGACAATTTGCCACGGCCCTAGCCTTCCGCATGGGCCTGCAGCACTCCCTACCCGGCAAATGCAACTGCCGCGACAAGCATGAGCTACCAGACAACCGGCTGCCCAACCACATGCTACGATGCACCCTGGGCGGGGGCCCAAAGCGGACCCACGACGCGCTCGTGAACCTCGGGATGCGACTGGCCCGAGAATCCCACTTCGTGGCCCACATGGAATCCACGCTCTACTTACCAGAAACTGCCCAACGCCGCGCCGACATCACCCTCCGATGCCCGGACTCAGGCGCGGTGTGGGTCTGTGACGTCACAGTCACCGACCCCATCTCAACCCGCGACCCAACAGCACGGAAAGGGACGGGGTGGATGGCGGCAGAAATACAAGGCAAGAAGCGGGACCTGTACGACGAACGACTCACCTTTGTGAAGGTGCTGGGAGTCGCCACTGAGACATACGGTTGCTGCTCCCCCGACACACTCGAGTTCCTCCGAGTACTGGCCGCCCTCTTAGCTCGCCGGAACCACCGGGCCGACGAAAAGTCAGCGGTGGCAAAGAAGGTGCTGCACAACTACCGCCAGAGGTGGTCAGTCACCCTCCAGCGGCAGCAGGCAATCACCCTCCATGCGAAGATTGGCCAGGTGACAGGCCAAGCCTTCAGCCACGACCGCCCCCTAGACGAACCTCTTACCTGGGGAGAACTGGAAGCCACCATTGAACCTACCTGCGACAGGTGGCCCGGGCAGCAGTAGGATGCTCGGGCCAGGACATACGTAACCCTGTCTGTGCCTCTGTACCCCTTATAAACATAATAAAAGGGCCGATTGAGAGAGAGAGAGAGAGAAAGAGAGAGAGAGAGAGAGAGAGAGAGAGAGAGAGAGAGAGAGAGAGAGAGAGAGAGAGAGAGAGAGAGAGAGAGAGAGAGAGAGAGAGAGAGAGAGAGAGAGAGCATAAGATAAAGAGAGAGAAAGACCATAAGAGAAAGAGAGAGAGAGAGAAAGAGAGAAAGAGAGAGAGAGAGTGAGAGAGAGAGAGAGAGAGAGAGAGAGAGAGAGAGAGAGAGAGAGAGAGAATGGATGAGAGAGAGAGAGAGAGAGCATAAGAGAAAGCAAAGGGAAAGAGCATAAGAGAAAGAGAGAGATAGAAAGAGAAAGAAAGAAAGTTTGTGTGTATGTGTGTGTGTGTGTGTGTGTGTGTGAGAGAGAGAGAGAGAGAGAGAGAGAGAGAGAGAGAGAGAGAGAGAGAGAGAGAGAGAGAGAGAGAGAGAAAGAAAGGGAGAGAGAGAGAGAGAGAGAGAGAGAGAGAGAGAGAGAGAGAGAGAGAGAGAGAGAGAGAGAGAGAGAGAGAGAGAGAGAGAGAGGTGACGAAGGCTCGAGCGCTGAAGGGAGAAGGCATGAATATCAGCCATGCCCTTTTTGAAATTGAACATGAGCCACTCTCGCTTTGCCAAATGAATGGAAGCTATGCCCCCCATGGAATTGACTATGACACATCCACCCTTTAGGCAATTTTCTGGTCTCACTCACTTGGGTACCTATGTGATTCTTGCCACCCGACCCCTTGGTCCAGCAGAAATCGGGAAAGGATGGTTACACAACGAACATGACCTCTACGAGTACGCGGTTACAGACAAGGACGTAACTGTCATGCATAGTCGATTGCGTCACGCCCTACATTGGTGGTGCTCATGGTGCGATAGCAGTTTCATCCTGTCCATCATCGCGAAAGGATATTGGCTTCCCTGGAAGGAAGGCGTGCCACATGCCTTTGAGGATAGCAATCATGCTGGAGTTCACACACACCTGGACTTCACTCATGGAGCGATTCGCGACCTCGTCACCTCGGGTGCCGCCGTTAAGGTCCCTACAAAGGACGCGCTCATGTGTGTCAGTCCACTTAACGTGGTGGAGCAGCGCCACAAATGTCGCCTCATTCTTGACTTGCGCAAAGTCAACAACTACCTCGACATCCCCAAGTTCAAGTACGAAGGCTTGAACAGGGTAGCCGAACTCATCCGCCCAGGCGATTGGATGTTCTCCATCGACCTAAAGTCAGGCTACCACCATGTCGAGATCCACCCCTCCTGCTGGAAGTTCTTGGGATTTCGGTTCGAAGGAGACTACTATTCCTTCATATCGCTCCCGTTCGGGCTTGCCACTGCCCCATTCGTCTTCACACAACTGATCAAACAACTGGCAAAGCGATGGCGGGCAAGCGGCGTGCGGGTTGTTCCATATGTCGACGACTTACTATTCCTCTACAACTCCCACTCGGATGCACGCTCGACCTGCGCAGCTGTGGTTCAGGACCTGAAGGCAGCAGGTTTTGTTATAAACGGCAAAAAGTCACATCTACACCCCTCACGCCAGATAACTTTCCTCGGCTTGGAGATTGATGCCGCCCAAGGCACCTTCTCCGTCGGACTCGAACGTCGAGCACAACTTTTTGCTTCACTCCAAGCCCTCATCGCCCAGGGACAAGAGGGACGACCGGTTCCCATCCGGTCCCTTGCGAGAATCACAGGAATGCTGGCCTCCATGAATCTGGCATTGGGCGCTACGGCACGTGCCTTTAGTTACGAGCTCCTTCGACTTATTGCAGACGCCACCTCTTGGCATGCCAAGGCACACTTGTCGTCGACAGCAGTGCACGAGCTGCATTTTTGGCTTGCGCAATTCGACAAGTTCAACGGAAACCCATTCCATCTCAGTCACCAGTTCGATGCCGTCATCCACGTCGATGCAAGCGCACACAGCTGGGGCGCCACCCTGACACAACTTCCTGGGACGCCCATTGAAGCCAGTGCTCGCATGCCCGAGGAACTACTGCCCACCTCCAGCACTCGACGGGAACTCGAAGGAGTTTTATGGGCTCTCCGAACTTTCGCTGCCCGCATACCCAAGCGACACGTGCTCGTTCGGGTAGACAATCAAGGCGTGGTATTCATCCTACGCAAAGGTGGATCGCGCCACCCCACGCTTACGCTACTATGTCAAGCAATCATTCGCCTCTGCCTGGAACACCAAGCAAGGCTAGCTGTCGAATGGATCCCACGAGAGCTGAATGCGCACGCCGACGAACTTTCAAAAATCCAAGACCACGATGACTACTCCCTCAAAGCCCCGTGGTTTCGGCTCTTGGATCGCCGCCTGGGTCCCCACTCTATCGATCTCTTCGCAAATGTGCACAACGCTCAGCTGGAGAGGTTTTGTTCCAAGATTCCACACCCTACGGCCGCAGTGTTTGACGCTTTTTCGTTCAGCTGGCAGCACGAGCGCGGCTTTGCGTTTCCCCCTCCCAACCTCATTCCAGCCACATTACGACATGCTAAACGCACACACGCTGAGGTGACCTTGGTCATTCCCGAGTGGCCGGGAGCATCATGGTGGCCACTCCTCCAACAGGCACCTGACGCCTGGGTGCCAGAAGTAACGGCACACATTCCCCTCACCCACGGCAGCCAATGCCTACGCCCCGGCACACACGCACTCGCTTTCGCAGGACAAGGCTTTCCTCCTAGTAAGATGATTGCACTGCATGTCACGTATAAAAATTAATAATAATTATACTCTATGCTGTACCTTTTCAGGCATTATAACGAAGCTGCAAACACAACTGCTACACGTAATCACCCATGTCCGTGCCCCTTCCACCATCCGAACGTATGAGCCCTACTGGCTCAAATTTCGCTCCTTCTGCATGAAGGTGAAGTTGAGCTACCTGCCTGCAACGGATATGACCTTGGCACTCTACCTTATTCATGCACTAAATCACCAGGCCACCACATCTGCCATATCGCTTACATGCTCCGCCGTCGCCTTCGCGCATCGCATGACTGGCGAGCCCTCTCCCTTGACTGGACCATTTACACTACAAGTGCGCGAATTTGCCAAACGCCATGGCCCGCGCCCCACCCGGAACAAGGAACCGTTGTCGCTGCACCAAGTGCACACCATGGCCCGCCCCTTTCTGGAGTCCACCCGGCCGGCCGAATACCAGAAAGGACTCATCCCCATCCTTATGTTCGCCGCCTTCCTACGCTACTCCGACCTTGTCAGTCTCCAATAGCACGACATACAGTTTGAGCCTGAGGCGATGTGGCTGCTCATCCCGCACTCCAAGACCGACCAGGAAAGCAGGGGCACGTGGATTCCGGTCGCTGCCACTTCCGGCCCATACTGCCCGGTACGCTGCACACGACACTTTCTTCTCCTCGCGGGTCACACCTCCATCCCACACGGGCCATTGATCTGAGTCTTCGGGAACAGCAGTACGGCAACTCCACAGGACCACGCACCTTCGTACACCACCATCCGGAACTGGTGCCTTGAAGCATTCACCAGGGCCGGCCTCGATAGCGCCCACCTCGGCACCCACTCCTTTCGCAAGGGCGCTGCTACAGCGGCAGCCAGCCTGGGGATATCCGACCGGCTGTTCAAGCGACTTGGCCGTTGGCGCAGCGATAATGCCAAGGAGCTCTACGTTACCATCGCACATGACCAACTCCTTCAAGCCTCCATGCAACTCCAAGACGCAGCCACCGCTCCCACGCCCAATCAGCACCAGCTATCTATTCAACGCCACCGCCAACCCCTTCTGCACATGTCTCAGAAGACCCAGATGAAATGAAGCACGCTGCCTGTACAAGAGGACCTAAGCAAGCTTTCACAATATGTAATTTTTTTAAAGTGTGTAACACTTTCTAAAAATGTGTATTGTGAGAGTGTAGCGAGGGCCAACGCAGCAAAGGCAGCGACGAAGCGCTAGTCACCCTCTTTTGCCTACAAAAGAGGGACGTGAGGCCATTCAGCCTCACCCACGTTCTTCATTTCTAGTTTCTCTAGTTCAATTTCCCCGCCCACCCACCCTCTTGTGCGTAGTTATGTATTGGACGAGAACCATGTATGTTTCCCAGATGAAATGAAGCACGCTGCCTTTACAAGAGGACCTAAGCAAGCTTTCACAATCATCTATTGTGTGCAGGGCTCTCGCTAGGCATTTTCCACTTTCTAGGCGATCAGACGCCCGATCTTTCAGTTTCTGAATAATCAGAGGTTTTAGAGTAGAGTTTCTAGGAGATCAGAAGTTCCAGCCTTACATTTCTAAATTTGTACCTAATCATCAGGCGAAAACGATACTTCACCAACTCGTTAAGCCATCTACCTTATCAGAATCACAATCTACATTTATAGTGCGGCGCACATCTACAGCCTCATCATCGTTCTTTAGACGCTTTTTCTTCTTGCTGACCGCTTTGTCTTTCTTCCTCTTCTGTCTGAGAGGCGGCTCAGCCGGGGACATCACGACATTTGTTGCCTGCCGCCGCTGCACTGAAGCACGGAAGTTAGCCATGACATCTTCCCACATCATCGGGTACTCTAGCAACGAAATGCACATCAGGTCAGTCAGTCGGGCATCGCACAAATTCACACGCAACCTAGACTTAATGATGTTCTGGCGGCTGAAGCCGCGCTCGCACTCTACTGTGCTGAGAGGCATAACAGCAACAGCCACCCATAAGCGGACGAGGTTGGGATAGGAGGTGCGCCAGTCTTCGGATCTGAGAATGTTCTTCAAGCAGTTGTGGAATGACGTATCCTTGTAATGACCGTGGAGCATGCGTGTGAATCGAGGCAGCTCTCTTTCCGCCTTGCCCCAATCAACTCCTGAACAAGGGAGGGTAAATAACCACAAGTCACTAAGTCACAGCCTGACACATCACAAGGTGGGAGGGGGGGGAGGGCTTCCACGTGCATGGTTAATGTAAGGTTGAGTGAAGAAATCCTCACCCGGCAAGGCACACTGTTCGGCGTTGAAGAGGACCTTTAGTGAACCGAACCACTCGGCGCACAGACGGTCGCGCTTTGCAACGGAGTCGGGGTAAGCATCGGGGAAGAACAGTTTCGACCCACGGAGACTGTTGAGGCTCTCCATCCGCGTCTCCAAGTTGCGGATGATGGCCTGCACAAAAAGGGTGACAAGGGAGATGCATGACTCCATGTCTCCCTCACTCTTCTGGCCTGACAGAGCTTTCTCGTGCAGCTTAAAGGTGTGAGCCGTCGGGTTGCCAGCGCCGTCAATGCCCTCCATTGTCACCATCCGCTTGTTCTTCGGGCCATGCTCCTCCAAAAACTCGGTGAGTAGCTTGGAATCCTCGCCGAAGTTGACGCCATACTCCACGTAGCGAGAGCGGAGGATGCTGCATGTGTTCTCTACTAGCTGGGCCACCTTGGTGGGAAGGACATAAGGTAAATTAGTTGAAGGGACAGGAGAGTTAATAAGTTTAGGAACAAGATATTAAAAGTGCACGCAGGGCAAACACTCACCGCACGGCGCTGGAACTTCTTGTTCAAGTTGTTGAGCTCCTTAAGAACATCAGCCAGGAAAAACAGAAGGAAGTGGAACTTAAAGCTGCTAACGACATGGTACATGTCATCATCGAACTCATACAACAGCAACACTGCAGCCGGAAAGACTTGCACGAGACGCTGAATGGCATCACCGCGAGACAACCAGCGAATGTCTTTGATACCCTGCATTTCAAGTGTCGTGTCGTGGATGAGACTCTGCAGCTCCTGGAATCTTGAGTGCACGACAATGGAGGAGCCAAGGATGTCGGCTAGGCTTCGGACGACTTTGTCGACGATATCGAGGTCGGGACAACCGTTGGCAACATCCTTAGCCGCGAGCGCCTCTCTGCAAAGAGCACGTAACTAAGATTAGCGATGTTTCTGGATGCCAGGGTACCACCATACAAATGTATGATTCAACAATCTCACCTGTGGGCGATGCAATGACAGGACACGAGATGCGGGACCCTGGCGCGAAGCTGAGCGACAAGGCCGCGGTTCGCCCCCGTCATGACGCTGGCTCCATCAGTGCTGATACCACTGATTTTGTTCAGGTCTACGGAGGTGGGTTCAAGGTGGTCCAGCAGCAGCGTCAGTAGAGAGGTCGCATCACACCTCTCAACTGTTAGGTGCCCGAAAAACTCGGTCACCACCTTGGCGTTCTTCAAGAAGGTGAGGTACACAATCATGTGTTTACCACGCCTCCTATCGGTGCTCTCGTCGAGCTGGATGCCCACGAATGGCGACTGTTGAATGTGCTTCATCTGCTGTGCTCGTAGGTAAACGACGAGTGCTTCTGTGATTTGCTTGAAGCCGTACCTACAGCAGGAAAAAAATCAACGGTTAGAGAGTTTTTAACATTTAAGTTAACCAAAACGATTGCAGAGCCCAACTTACTGAGATTGGTAAGACCCGGGGGATTTCTCGGGGATGTGGGGAGTGCGGAGATCATAGAGAAGACGGACCAGAGAAACAAACATGGCAATAGAAGCATCAGACTTGCAAATCCAAAGCACAACAATCATCAACTGCCTGAGCCGCGCGTCGGCTCCCTGATTGTCGTTGAAATCGACAATGCTCGGCTGCGCAGCGTTTAGGCCATCCAACTGTTTCTGCCGATCCTCCGCAGCCTCGTGCTTCTTGCTTTGGGAGTGCTTCACCATCGTCTGCTTCTGAATGTCGACACCTCCATTGCCGTATTTGCCGTACTGCCACTTCGGAGGAGCGTGCGCCATGCACAATCGACACTTCATGCACGGACGTCTGTCGGGGCGTTGGTCGATGAGCAGCCAGGGGAATTTTCGCACCCACTGCTCTTTGGCCTTCGCCTTCAGTTCTGCAAGAAGTGCATTGGGGTCGGGGATGAGACGAGAGTGGCTTCCCGTGCTCGGCATCGGATCAGGGGCTGAAGCAGACGTTCCAGCCTCTTGGGTCGCAGATGGCGTTGCATCAGCAGCAGGTCGGGAAGTCTCTAGCCTGATGTGAGGAACTCGGGTACGCGCAAATCGAATGGTGCTTTGCGTGTACCTTCCAGCAGGCAGTCTTGAAGGCAGTGCTGGGATCGCGGCTACTGAGAGTGGAGGCGAAGGGATCCCCGCGGAAGCAGTGGGAGAGCTAGGAGAGGCAGCAGGAGTGGATGCGAGCAAAGGCTCAGCATCAATGTCCGGGAGTAAGTCAGAGAAAGGCAGAGGCACGGCTGGGGAACTAACAGCTAGCGCGGGCACGGCCTCTGGCGTCTCTCGCCTAGGCGGAGGCTGGCGTAGAAAATCCAGGCCCCTCATTAGGGGTGCTGTAGCAGGAACGGGCTGTGCTATGGCGGTGGCGCCGTCATCAGTGGTGGCGCTGCCAGCCATCTAAAACTCATTGGCGCAGCAAACGAGCGAGGTACGCTACGAGGCATGTCCAACCTGGGTGCGGTAACGATAGTGAAACGAGGGCATACTGGCGGACAGGGGAGCTTGTCGAAGAGAAGGGTGAAGAAGAAAGGGAGTTCCCCACCTCTCTTTCAGCATGCATCGAACCGCAAGCCGTTTCAATGGTGTAGATTAGAGTGTTCCCCCTAAGACGAAGGTTCGTGGGGAGGCCAGCTAGGAATGCATGTTGCGACAAGCCAATGGGAGAGTATGCTGCAATGGCTAATAGGACAACCCAATTGGAGAGGCCCCGCTGCCTTACCTAGCAGGACAAGCCAATGGGAGGGGCTCTGCCCTGTCTAACAGGACAAGCCAATGGGGGAGAGAGATGCTGCCAATGCATGGATGCACTGAGGGCAACTGTGGAGAGTCATTGTGTGTTGGAAGGGGATGGGCCAATGAGACTACATGGCTGACTCAATCGCCCACTGCGGCGCCACACCGTGAGCAACATATGATTCAGCACTTGTCTCACCGACGTTGTGCTGGCGCCAAAACTATAAGTAATGATGCCCCACTGGGCGTGCTATCGAGCGATTTGCTGTACACGCGGGGATTTTGGGGGGGCTGGATGCAACCTCACAGTAATCGGTTTCAGACGAACGTATTCACTAAGTCTGTAGAATCAGAAGAACAAGAACACACATTCTGAAATTTCAGAAGGACTATAATTCAGTTTCTAGGGCATCAGAAATTCTAGAAATAGGTTTCTAAAAAATCAGAGGAACGCCTAAAAAAGAGTCTGAAAATCAGACAAACAGACGGATTTTGTCTGATGTCGAGAGCCCTGATTGTGTGGTGGTGGGATGTCGTCTTTTGCTGATTCAGCATAGCGGGTTCGTCGAAGCTGATGATAATCAAGTTGCTGTAAAGAAATTGTATTTGATACCATAGAGGGTATAGACTTGTCCACACAGAAACGATCTGTCTCGTCACGACCAGCGAGTTTTGGATAGGCTATGACGCAGATGTTCTTCCGCATCGAGTGGTAACCACATGAGCTGGACAAAGTCGTGTTCCCAGAAACTGCCAAGATTGACAAAATTGGTCTGTAAGACGTGGTGCTTTTCTCCTAAAACTCCAACCGCGCTTCACCGTAGACAAGCCCACTTCAACAAGCAAAACCGTCCTAAAACCCGTTGAAGTTCGGATTTCTGGCTTGTTCTGAACCTCAAGCAGCATGCCCGTTAGCTGAGGATGCGCTCTTCACCTGTGACAAACTTTGTGGCAAGTTTTCATCTGCCTCCTTCAACGTGTAGGATCATGTAAGATCTCATTTCTGACAATTGGGACCGTAAAAAATCTCTACAGAACTTGCCACAAAGTAGTCTGCCACAAGCGAGGAATTGTCCTAGAGTAATTAGACGGAGCTAGGGCGTGTCCAGCGCGTACGTTTTCAATTCAATATATACGGTTCACAGTGGTGCTTGGTTGTCCAACGTGGTTATGCGCAGAAACTGCTCCTGACCGCGATTTATCCGAATGAACCGTGTTCCGTGGACAGTAAGCGTACACGCTGGACAGCACTTAGCGGATGGCTCAAGCGAATTATCTGGGTTTCGTTACCACTTCAATAAACTGGTCAGAGCAGGATTACTAGTAGGATGTAATGAAAGCGAGCTTGCAGTAGCTGAAGGACGCTTGTATCGAGTGTGACAATGTCGGGCGAGCTGGAGCACATGGCGGCGGGGACGGGCAAGGGCGAGGAGCGCAAGGAGGTGCAGCGGAAGAAGCAGGCCCGGTTCTCGGGGAACGACGACGCCGACGACGACGACGATGATACCAAGTGCGCGCCGTCTCTATCTTCTGTAGCGTCGAATAATTTTCGTGCGAATTCACCGCCAAAAGCTTCGTCCCACTCATTCACGCGCCACTTTCCCTTTCGTGCTGCGCAATTCCCCACCCCCACCCCCACCCCCACCCCCACCCCCACCCCCATCCCCACCCCCACCCCACCCCCATCTCCACCCTCACCCCCACCCCACCCCCATCCCCACCCCCACCCCATCCCTCTTCCCCACCTTCCTGCTCTCCCCTCCCTTCTCCCTCCTCTTCCCTCCGCACGCGCACTCCGCCAGGCCTCGGCGCGCAGTGCTGCCGGAGAAGAAGCCCAAGAAGGTCAAGGGTGCGCCGCCCTCCGCTGACGTCAGCGCCATGGATCTCGACGACTTGGGCGCGGAGCCCGGCGCGGCGGGCGGAGGCTCCGCGGGCGCGGCGGCGCTGATGGACTCCGCGGACCCGCGCGTGGCGGCGCAGGCGCGCGCGCAGCAGCGGAAGCGGGGGAAGAACAAGTGGGGGGACACGGCGTTTGGGGGCGTGGAGGACGTGGTGGGCGCGGAGGAAGACTTCCAGGTGGGGGGAAGGGAGGGGGGGGAGAGGGGGGAGGGAGAGGGGGGAGGGAGGAAGTAGAGGAGGAGGAAGGAGGGAGGGAGGGAAGGGAGAGGAGGAGAAGAAAGGGAGGGAGGGAGGGTTTTAGGGCAAGGGAGGGCGGAATCAAGGGGTGTGGGGGAAGGGAGGGAGGGAGCAAGGGGTGTGGGGGGAGGGCTTGTTGGGGGTGGGGGCCGTGGGGAAGAGTGGAATGGGGATTGGCGATGGTGTTGCACAGCCCTCATGCGTGGACCCTGCATGCATGCTGATGCGTGGACCCTGCATGCATGCTGATTCTTGCTGCGTGCCGTGTGCTGTCTGGCGCGCGTTGCATGGCACGTGGGTGTGAGCAGGGCGAGGAGGAGGAGAAGGAGGCGATAGAGCCGTTCAACCTGCAGCAGGAGCGCGAGGAGGGGTACTTCGACGCCGAGGGCAACTACGTGGAGTACAGAGAGGACACGGAGGCCACTGTAAGGCGGGGAGGAGCTGTGTGTGTTGGGCATGACATGCATGGATGGCTTCTCACATGCGTGGATGGCTTCTCACATGCAGTCCACGCCCATCATCTTTCCAACCAACACGCCACATGCCACATGCCCATTCACCATTCACCCACGCATGACGCCCGTACTTGGCTGCCCTCACGCACCATCCACCTTCCAGCGAGCAAAGCCCTCACGAGTGACGCCACATGGCTGGCGCAGCCTGAGAGGAACCCCACCCCGCCCCCACCGACCACCATACCAGGTGGCCCTTCCCTCCCCGACCGTCTGCCTGCCAGCTGAGGCGCACACACGCTGCCCTCATCACTGCATCACTGCCTTCCCCCTCCTCACTCCCACACACCGTGCGGCCTCCCTCCTCCCCTCCCTGGGCTGGCCACAGGCCATCCCGCAAGCAAGTGCTCCCACATGTGAATCTCACGCCATGTGTCCCGTATGCCCCACGTCCGCTTAGTCTCGCAAACCGTGCGCCGTGTCTCTGTGTCCCTCACCGTGCAGCGTCCCCCCTCCCCCACTCGCACCAGCGCGCACGGCTGGGAGCGGCTGAAGGTCACCCCACGCCGCCAGCCACGGCCGCCGCACGCGCAGAGGCAGCGCCACCTCTACAGTCACTTTGACATTCCACCCTCACCCTGCCTGCCACCCGCACCAGGATGCATGACTCGCCGTCAACCCCACCCTGGCCACCGCAGCAGCAGCACAGGCAGAGGCAACGCCATGTCGCTGTGTCCCCTAACCATGCGCCCCCTCCCCTCCCCTTCCCTCCTCTCTTTCTCCCCCCCCCCCCCTCTTTCCCGTTCAGGACGCATGGCTGGCAACAGCAGAGGTGGACCCCACCCTGGCCGCCAAGGCGGCAGCGCGCGCAGAGGCAGCGGCTGCAGCGGAGCAGGCGGGGGAGGGCGGCATGGGGCACGCGGAGATGGCGGCGATCAGGCGGCGCATTGCTGATGCGCTGAACCCCGGGGAGACGGTAAGGGTTAATTCTGCACCGAGTGTTACACCCGAGGGTTTAGCAGGAAGATCCGAGGCTGATAAAAAACTGGCTCGGGCCGTGCGAAAAACTGACGGCTCCAGCCAGTCAGCTGTCAAACCGAACAACTAACAATGTCGCGCAAATGAACTTCCACCAATCATTAACTCACAAATTTCTGGTGGACTCGCAAAGTTCGGCCACTATAGTCGCAACCCTCTCCTTGCGACAGTTTGCCACTGTGCAGCCACTGCACTGTTAAAAATATAAGACCCGCAGTTAGGCTGTGACAACCCGCAGCTCCTTTGGCCACGGGTCGACCTCGGGTCTGACACTTGCTCCGGAATGTACCCTAAGTGACAAAGGGAGGAAGTGGGGGGAAATTGGACAGCTGGCATGAGCATGGATGGGGGTGTGGGGATGAGTGCAACAAGGTTGGCAGTGTGCATGGGAGGGTGGAGGGTTTGCGAAGCTATGGCTCAGATGGGGAATTGGGTGGCAGAGAGCCACATTAGCCACCCACATGGATGGGAGTGAAGTGGCATGCGGCAGCCGCACCGCACCCCCATTAGATGGACTCTTGCGCCGCCTCTCTACCCCTCGCCCCCACCCGCGCCCTCAACCCCCCCATCCCACGCCGTTCCCCTCCCCCCTCCTCCACGCGCAGGTCATTCAAGGTCTGAAGCGACTAGGCGGGGGGAAGAAAGGGCCGGGGCAAGGGGGAGCGGGAGGAGCGAAGGGGGGGAAGCAGGGGAGGAAGAGGGGGCGGCCGGGGGGTGAGGGGGAAGGGGAGGAGGGCGGGGAGGGGAGGGGGAAGGGCGGGAGGCAGCAGAACAGACCGCGGTGGATGGAGGAGACGGGAGGGTGCGAGGGGCAGGAGGGGGGCATGGACTTGGAGGCGAGGCAGCGGCTGTTTGAGCAGCTCACTGAAGACGCCATGATGCTCATGGATGCGGGGGAGACAGGTATGATGCTCATGGATGCGGGGGAGACAGGTATGATGCTCATGGATGCCGGGGAAACAGGTATGATGCTCATGGATGCGGGGGAGACAGATATGATGCTCAGGGATGCGGGGGAGAGAGGTATGATGCTCATGGATGCCGGGGAAACAGGTATGATGCTCATGGATGCGGGGGAGACAGGTATGATGCTCATGGATGCCGGCTGTTGAAGCACGTGATGGCTGTGGAAGCACGTGATGGCTGTGGAAGCACGTGATGGCTGTGGAAGCACGTGATGGCTGTGCTGCGCTGGAATGTGCTGCTCTCTGCTCTTCATGTGCCCTCCCTTCCTGCAGACGTGTGCACGGACAAGAAGGAAACGTTCCATCGTGGGCGAGAGGGTACGAGGCATTCACACTTCACCTGCGATGTGCTCTTATGTGCTCTCATGTGCTCTCATGTGCTCTCATGTGCTATGCTGCCGCCCGCCCCCCCCCCTGCTGACGTGTGCTCGGACAAGGAGACGTTTCGAAGAGAGGCAGACGGGCACGAGGCATTGCACGTCCACCTGTGCTGGAAAATGCGATTCTCTGCGTGTCATGCGCCCCCCTCTCCAGAGGTGTACTCGGACAAGATGGAGACGTTTCAGCGGGAGGCGGAGGGGTACGAGGCGATCCTGAGGGCACGACAGGGGCTGCTGGGGGGAGGGGCTGGCGAGGAGAGTACGGGGGAGAAAGGAGGTGGGGAGGAGAGAGGGAATGGGAAGGGAGGAGGGGATGGTGTGGACATGTTTGGCGATGATGCTGACGATGGGGAGGAGGGAAATCATCAAAAGGGTGATGGAAACGAGGGGGGCGGTAAAGTCAGGAATGGTGAGGAGGATGGAGATGAGGAACAGGGGGAGGAGGAAGGCGAGGGGAAGGCGGCTACCGGAGGAGCAGAGGGAAAGGGAGGGGAGGGGAAGGCAGGGGGTGAAGGGAGCGGAGCACCGAGCAACAGCAGCGGCTATGAGTTCGACCCGGCCAGTGGGTGAGTGCATGGTGTTTCACTTGCGCCCCCGCCCTTGCTGTCATGCACGCAGACGTCCGTTGTTCACCAGTGCCTTGCAATCACCGGCACTGCCTTCCACCTCGCCCCTCCTCTCTGCTACCAGGTCACCATGTTACTCTCCCTATTCCGCTTCTCCCTCCCTCTGCTGCACCATTACACAACCACATACAGAACCCATTCCTGCACCCCCATCCAACCCCCCAAATCTACACCCCCCCCTCGCCAGCTGCTACTTCAACAGGAAGGTGGGTCACTACTATGAGGCCTCCTCTCGACGTACCTCACATATCAATGCCTGCACCCCGCCCCCCCCCCCCCTCCCCCTTCGTTTCCGCCCCAGCTACTACTACAACAAGGAGGTGGGCTACTACTATGACGCCACCTCTGGGCTCTTCTGCAGTGCTGCTAACGGCACATGGTGGGGTTGAGTGCAGTACAGTGCGGTGACAGAATGCTACTGGCACACATCAGCATGCAGGACCTTGTTATGGTGAAGTTTGTTATCGCTTTCTACCCAAAGCAGCGGAGTGCCATGGCATGATGCACACGAGTCACATATGGCTTTGTAGGCGTAACCACCTCGATGCCTTGGTGTTTCGTCCCCACTTGCTTCTCCATGCGTGCTGAGTCGACTCAAAACACAATGGCTTCAACGCTGCTCTTGACCACCTCCCCATCCTCCCTCCGCCAACTATCTACACTTGCCACTCACTCTCACTGATGTCTTCCCACGACCCCCCCATTCTCCAGGTACCGCTTCAACGAGGCCACAGGCGAGTACGAGGCGGTTGAAGGCGACTCGAAGCACGCAGATGCGCCACACGCAGCAGGTGCGGACGCTGCAGGCGATGCTGGCGGTGTGCGAGGCGAGGCGGACAAGGCTGGCCCAGGCAGGGCAGCAGACGAGGGCAAGGTGGGGCAGAGCAGAGCAGCGGGGGGAGGAGGCACGGATGCGGCTGGTGAGGGTGCGGCAGCTGGGGGGGGCGAAGCGGGTGGTGTGGCGGGTGAGATGCGGGCAGACAAGGCTGGAACAGCAGCGGGGGAAGGGACGACGGCTGCTGCTGCCGCTGGGGATGGGTAAAGGCACTTGATGTCCATACCAGGAGCGCTGTGGTTTCCAATTGATCAGCAGCAATCTTGCAGCAAAATCAATGACGTTTGAGAAATGAATGTGGATTGTGCACCTGGGATATGGTTGGAATGGGTCATGGGCCATGCGGCATGCCCCCACTCATGTTGCCTGGAAGCTCTGTTGAGCCAATCGGAAGGCTCTCCACCAGCACCACTACCAGCAATCCCACCGCACCTTTTATGATCCCTCCCACCCAGCTACCGGTATTGATCCATTTGTGCACTACTACCAGCCTTACACCCGTTGCATGACTTCGGTTCTGAAAGCTTTGTTGCTTCGTCTTCCATGGCTCCCACTTTCTGACGCACGATAGTGTCAATGTTAGCATTTACGGACTTTTTGCGGATGTCAACGAAGCCATTCTGTCCAGCAAACTAGGTGGCAGGTGCATGCCAACGATCCGGCCAACCAACGACAGCCAGCTCAGCATGTAGAGCTCGAGCCCCTGGCTGTGGTCATGCAATGCACGACTGCTGGCAGCGGCCGGGGCAGCACCCGCTGTTGGCCATGTGTCTGCCTTATTGTCAGCCCCACATGCAGCTGCAGCAGCAGCAGCACCACTTCCAGCAGCAGCAGCAGCATGAGCAGCAGCGTGCAGCATGAGTGCCATGGTGGCCACTGTGTTGCAGGGGTGAATGGCAAGACACGGGCGGCCTAGGAATGGGTGCTCCTGCCAAGTAGAGGGGGGGGAGGATTTGAGGCGACTCAAACAGCAGCTGAGATATGCAGAAGAACAAGCCTAGTGCCATGGTGGGCAGCACAAGTTACGAATGAGAGATTGGAGAACGACGAACGAAAAGGAATTCATACCAGAGCAAGTGGAATGTGCGATGCAAGCACCGTGACACGAATATCCGAACCATCTGCCATCACAGTGCGTGGGCTTGCTACTTGGCCCATGGCGGATGAGTCGGGTTATTTGTGCCAGCGTTTGACCAATGGCAGGAAGGACACGGCGTTTGATCAAGGGCAGGAACGACACGGCGTTTGACCAAGGGCAGGAAGGACACGCCGTTTGACCAAGGGCAGGAAGGACAGGGCGTTTGACCGAGGGCAGGAAGGACATGGCGTTTGACCAAGGGCAGGAAGGACACGGTGTTTGACCAAGGGCAGGAAGGACACGGCGTTTGACCAAGGGCAGGAAGGACACGGCGTTTGACCAAGGGCAGGAAGGACATGGCGTTTGACCAAGGGCAGGAAGGACATGGCGTTTGACAGCATACCACAGGGGTGAGCAGATGCCAAGAGTCAATCGTGGGCCCCAAGGGATCGCAGGTGCGAGGAGGAAGGGAGGACGTGGGTGAGGCAGCAGGGGGGTGGGGGTGACGGACGACGGTTGAGGGCGGAGGTGAGGGGAGCAAGGGGTGGTCGGGGAGGGGTGGGAGGAAGGCGAAGAGGTCTTGCGACGGCAGGGGACGGCCATCTGTGTGGGCAAGAGTGGGGCGGGTGATGGAGAGAGAGTGAGAGCAGGGTGGGTGGTGAAGCTGGTGGGCACGAGGGAAGGGTCGAAAAAGGACGCGTGGACAGGGTTGGGCACAAAACTTGCAGGTGCAAGTTCAGATTGGGATCATGGTCAAGGTGACCCCGAGAGGTCGATGGTGAGAACATGGTGGTACGGTGGAGCACGAAGGTGGCGTGGCATGCATACCAGGGTCTGGTGGGAAGGCATGCATGCATACCTGGGTGGCATGCATACCTGGGTGGCATGCATACCTGGGTGGCATGGCAGGAGCAGCAGTTGCGGCACGGAGAAAACAGCATCGAACACCACATGGCACTGCACCACCGCCACCATGCCACATGGCATCATGTCCCTTGCTGCCGTGTCACATGGTTGCTGCACACATGCCACACCGTCAAACGCCGCATGCTCAGTGCGTAACCCAGCAGGTGCCCCTTCAGTTGGCGTTGGCGTGTGCTACACTGCCTGGCCTGCTGCCACCATGGCTGCGCGCAGTGCTGCTCGTGCTGCTGGTGCCGCTGCGCCTGCTGCAGGCAGCACTGCCGAGCGCTGCCACCCAAGGCAGCACTGCAGTGTGGCCGGGTCGTGCGGCTCGTCGCCACACAGGTCAACCACATCAGACCAGTCAACGGAGTCAACGGAGTTAACCGGGTCAACCGGGTCAACCAAGTGAGCGAGATTAAGAGGTAGCTGATGGTGAGCAGCGTCGGTGCTGGCGGCACACGGAGCAGGCACCGCCGCATGGCTTCCAGCTCCCTCGTGGCACGGCCCATGGCATGCATGCTGGTGCTGAGTGTGGTGGCGGTGCAGCAGCAGCGGGTGGGCCGTGGTGAGATAGCCGCCTGGCACACGGCGGATGGGCGGGAGGGGTGGGAGCGAGAAGGGGGTGAAGGATGGTGGAGGATGGGAGGAGCGATGGAAGGGAAGATGTGAAGGTGAACGAGGTGGCTTGGGATGTGCGCATGGGAGTGTGGGAGGAGCGCGGGTGGAACTGATGACGGCGCGAGACAGCACGGCGGCGCATGCGGGCGAAACACAAGGCAGGGGAGACAAGGAGGAGACAGAGGGATGGAGGGGCAGAAGAGGGGGGGTGGGGGGGGTGTTCAGGCGGAAGGTTGCGGGCAGGGGGGCCTGAGACAACGCACTCACCTCCGAGCGCCAGGCACGAGGGGCGCGCCGCGACCCACCGCCACTCCATGCTCTCGTCGCACCTCGCGCTCCTGCGGTCATAGTCGTCGCCCCCCGCACACGTGCCCTTCATCGCCCTGCCATCGCGCCCGCACTCCCTGCTCTCCCTCTCTTCCTCCATTCCCGCTCGCTCGTGCACCGCGTCTGCCGCCGCATTCCGCGGTGCAGCATTTGCTGGTGCCGGTGCTGCTGCGTCGTCCGCCAGTCGAGTCCTCTGCGCGTCTACCGCCGCGTTCCACGCTGCTGCGAGACTCGTCGCGGCGAGCGGGAAGTCGGCGGCGCTGATTCTCTCCGTGCGGAGTGGAGCTGCCATGCTGCCGTGCGACTCCGGCGATCCCGTTTGAGACGCCTCAATCTAACGCTGCCGTGCTGCCGCACGACGCTACACACGTGCTGCAGCGCGACCGCCTGCCGGAATCGAGACGGTTGACACGAGTTACTAGCAACGGATTCCGACCTTTTCTGTTATCCCACTAGACAGAAAGACACATGTCAACTACGACGTCAACTTTTGAGACGCGTACTCGCGGTGATCAGACGCATGAGCGGAAGATGTCGTCAGGGCACCGTGTCTGCCGCACTGCTGCTGCGAGGGATTCTATCGACTTCGCCAGAATCTCGCGCTGCTGCTGCATTCACGCGGCAGCTTGCGGAGGGAGTGGCTGCTGAGGGCAAAACCAGGGCGCAGATGAGGGCAAATATAAGAGCATCTCCGCGCCAGGGTGGTGGCTCCGTGAGCCAAGTCGTGCGGCAAGATGGAACCCTAGAAACGCAAGGCCCAGTGCATCCTGCGGAGGTCAGAAGCAAGAAGGCGTGCAAACACCACCGAGTCAGTCGTCGCTGCTCCTCGCCGCTGCCCACTCACAGGCACGTTCCACCTCCGTCACTCCGCCGCTTCCGCCGCTTCCTTCGAGCCCCCCTCTTCCTTCGTCCCCCCCTGTTCCGTCCGTGCCCACCGAGGCTTAATCGCCTCGGAACCTCCGACCGTTTGGTGTCACCGCGCGGTAGAGGCTCGCGGCGGGAGGAAAGGACGGGGTACCAGTGGCGCGCCGTCGGCGCACGGATTGCGGGAACTCCGTTCAAGTCGGCAATTCCCGCAGCAACGCATCGCGCGTGGTCCGGATTGCGCGTGGGCGGGCAACGCGGTGGCAGGCAACGCGGTGGGCGGGCAAAGCGGTGGGCAGGCAATGCGCTGGTTGCACCGCCTAGTGCGCTTAGAAAAGAGCCGTTGCGCTGCTGCCTGCTGCCATTGGGGTAGCTCGTTCCCAGTCGCCGCAGCGGACGCGGCTTTGTTGCGAGGGGGGCGCCGAGCGAGAGGGGCTGGCGGAAGGCATGATGCGCGGGGGTGAACGCGGAGGGGACGGCGGAGCAATGGGGGGAAGGAGCGGGGATTCGGGGAATGAGAGGCGCGGAACGGCAATGGGAGGGGGAAGGGGAGCGGGTTACGCGAGCAGCGGAGATGGGTGGCGCGGTGGCGGGGAGCGCGGCGAGGGCGAGTGGAGCGGGGAGGAGGTACGGCGGCGAGTGGAGGGGATGTGGCGCCACGCGCAGCTCCTTCAAGCCGTGTACGCCCCTTGCCATGGCCAAAGCCGGGAGCTCCTCCTCCTTCCCCTCCGTCGAAGGCTCTCAACAACGCTAGGCGCAGCTCACAAGGCTGCGTGCGCCCCTTGTGATGACACAAGCCCCCGACTCGCCCTTCCCCTCCTAACCCCTCGCTCTTTCCAAGGGCCCCGCCCGCTCTCCCTCCCTTTGTCGTTTCTCCCATCGTCCCACTCATTCGCCTCGCGCCCCTCGCCGTCTCACTTGCCCGCCACCCGTCCTGGCAGCCACTCGCTCCCTCGCTTCCACTCGCCTGCTCCCTCCCTTTCTCGCCCTCACTCCTCCGTGCTTCACTGCCGTGCTTTCTCCTCTCATCTCACTCCGCCTGCTTATCCCCCAACCCCTCCCCTCCCTCCCCCCCTCCTCCATCACCAGCCTCCACAAGCGGCACCACCTGCCGGCTGCACCCCGTGCGGCGCAGCAGGCAGCGCCTCATGCAGTGCCCCAAGCAGCGGTCGCTCAGCTGCCCGTGCACGCACCAGCACCACCACACGCCATGGCAGGCGCTGCTGCACTGCCCTCAGCAGCGCAGGTGACAGCACATCTAGCAGCCGAAACGGCAGCAGAGGCAGCAGCAAGACCAGCATTAGAAGCGGAGGCAGTGTGGGCGGCAGCAGGCGAGCGGTTGGGCGAGGATTTGCTGCAGCTGACGCCAGCGCTGGCACGGCTGCAGGAGGTGCTGGGGGAAGGCAGACAGGACGAGGGAGGGGGGCGTGGGGAGGGAAGTGCGGCAAGTGATCGTGCGGAGAGGGGGAGAGGAGGGGAGGAGGGAGACACGGAGGAGGCAGGGGAGGGGAATGAGGGGATGAGAGGGTGGGGAGGGGTGGAGCGAGTTGAGATGCTGCGAGTGGTGAGGGCGAGGGGGAGGGCGGTGAGGAAGAAGAGGTGGAGGGGGAGGAGGAGAGCGCAGCAGGCAGCGGCGTGCAAGCAGGTGCGTGTGATGCAGGGTGGGTTCGTTCAACCGCGCCCACGTTTGACCAACAATGTAAGGAGGCTGGCGTTGGTAATGCATTGGGCTTTTGTTGACCTCTCCATACACCTCGCTCCCTCTTCCTTGTACTCTCACTCCCACTCCTTCTCGTGCCCCGCCCTCTCTCTCCCCCCTCCCTCAACGTCCCTTGCTCTCTTCCTCGCCCTCCCCCCTTGCCCTCTCCTCCATGTCGCATGCGTGGGCAGTGGGAGGAGCAGTGGAGCGTGGTGGAGGCGAGGATAGACGCATGGCGGGGGAGGGTGATGGCCAGGGACGCACGGGAGACGCAGGTGAGAGGGGTGGGCTTGGGAGAGAAGGGTGGGCTTGGGAGAGAGGTATGGGGCATTTGTGCACATGGGCATCAGACAGCACAGAATGTTTCCTCTGCTTGTGTGCATTCTGAAATATCTCCAATTTCAGCCACTGTTCCGCACTCCACCGTCCAGCACCACGCGCAACTCTCCCACACATCAGCTCTTTCATAGGAGCCTCAATAGCTCTCGCTACACACAGCAGCAGCGTTCTCCCTGCTTGTAGCTCAGTATCGCCTCTCACTGCTGCTCTTCCTTGCCTTGCGTCTCCCCTGGCAGGCTTGCCAGCAGCTGCGGGAGGAAGAGGCCAGGGAGAAGAGGGAGGGGGCTCAGCTGCAGAAGCAGGTGATATGCGGTGGAGATGGGTTGTGTGAGTGGAGATAGGTGATGGGTGTTGTGTGGTTGGGTGGAGGTAAATGGTGCCAGAGTGCAGGGCATTGGTGGGTGTGTGGTGGAGATGGGTGGTGTGTCTGTGCCACTGGCGGTGCAGATGTGAGATTATAGGTGATGTGGCATGCACTGCACATGCTGGCATGCACTGCACATGCTGGCATGTACTGCACATGCTGGCATGCGCTGCACATGCTGGCATGCACTGCACATGCTGGCATGCACTGCACATGCTGGCATGCACTGCACATGCTGGCATGCACTGCACATGCTGGCATGCACTGCACATGCTGGCATGCACTGCACATGCTGGCATGCACTGCACATGCTGGCATGCGCTGCACACACACATGTGTTCCACGTGTCGTGTTTCAGCAAGCTGATCAAAGTTGCCCCATACACCTCCCGGCTTGCCAGCCCTAGCCAGCCTGGCCCTCCTTCCCCACTCACTTCCCTGCTTCCCCACTCACTTCCCTGCTTCCCCACTCACTTCCCTGCTTCCGCTCCTCCCTGCTCTCCTACTTACATGCCGCGTGCACGCGGTGGGCGTTCACAACAACTTGCCAAGTCGAGCATGGTGGCGGAATGTTGATCATCTCGTGCTCTCTGCACCCTCTCCACGTTCCGTCGTACCGCGGGCAGGTGGACGCCCTCCTGCTGCTGGAGCGCCTGAGGGAGCTCAGGCGCCTGCGAGTGGTGAAAGCGCGGAGACAAGGTGAGGGGAGGGGGTTTGAGGGCAAATGTGTTGGAAAGGAGGAATGAAGTGAGAGTGGAGAGGAGAGAGAAGGCCGAGGGAGCTGAGGCGCCTGCGAGTGGAGCATGCGTGGAGGGAAGGTGGGGAAAGGCTTGGGAAGAGGCAAGGGGAGAACGGGGGGGAGTGGGGGGGAGGGGTGTTCCACTGCCCTTCCCATTGCCCTTCCCATTGCCCTTCCCATTGCCCTTCCCATTGCCCTTCCCATTGCCCTTCCCTTTGCCCTTCCCATTGCCCTTCCCATTGCCCTTCCCATTGCCCTTCCCATTGCCCTTCCCGTTCCCCTTCCCGTTGCCCTTCCCGTTGCCCTTCCCGTTGCCCTTCCCCTTGCCCTTCCCATTGCCCTTCCCGTTGCCCTTCCCGTTGCCCTTCCCGTTGCCCTTCCTGTTGCCCTTCCCGTTGCCCTTCCCGTTGCCCTTCCCGTTGCCCTTCCCGTTGCCCTTCCCGTTGCCCTTCCCGTTGCCCTTCCCGTTGCCCTTCCCATTGGCCTTCCCATTGCCCTTCCCATTGCCCTTCTCATTGCCCTTCCCATTGCCCTTCCCATTGCCCTTCCCATTGCCCTTCCTTCCCACCGCCCTACTGCCCTTCCTTCCCGCCGCCCGACCGCCCTTCCCACTGCCTTTCCCCTGCCCCACTGCTGTGCCCTCTTCTCGTTTTCCCCTCTGCTGGCCCTCCCCATCAGGACTGGCACTGGCAGGCGAGGACGATGGGTTCGTGCAGGCTGTGAGGGCGGCGGTGGAGGCGGAGGACAGGCGGGGAGGGGCAAAGGAGGAGGATGGGGGAGGAGGGGCGGAGGAAGAGGAGAGGAGGAGAGGGGTGGACGTAGAGGAGAGGAGGGAAGGGGTGGGGGAGGAGAGGAGGGGCGGTGGGTGTGGATCCGTGGGGGGGCAGGGAGCGGAGGACGGGAGGGGGGATGTGGGGTGGATGGACGTGGCAATGGCAGGCAAGGAGCGGCAGGGCAAGGGCGGTGGGAGCGTGGGTGGCAGCGAGGTACGGCAGGGAAAAGAGGGTGTGGGAGCACCACACAGCACACATCTGCAAGACCTCCATTCGCGGCTGACATATGCGTCTGCTGCCGGCCCCCGCCTCCCCCTGTGTGAGCTGGTAGCAGTGAGGCGCCAGTGGGACGCCTTCCTCCTGCCATCACCGGCCCACCCGCCAAGCCCTCAACTCCAGTGCCCTCACGTCTCACCAGTCCATCTAGCCCCTCCCGCTGCTCAAACCCCTCAGTGCCCGCACATCCCTCCGCTCAGAGCAATCACCTCCTCCATCCAAGGTGCTTTCTTTGCGAGTGCTGCTCCCCCTGCTGCTGCTAATGCTGGTGTTGCATCTGCTAGCGCCACTCACTCCGTGGCTACACATGATGCTCACCTCACCACCTCCCACCTACCAGGCACACACGACACGAGCTCGCCAGTACCTCCATGCTGGGTCAGAGCCCCTCGTCCTTCCAACTCCGAATGGGGGTTGTATCTTGTGAAGAATTGAGTACTGCTGTTCTGGAGTTAGAATTGCAGGAGTTACGAAATTCCTAAGAGTGCATGGATAGGATGAAATGCTTAAATATATCGATATGTAATTGACAAGCTTCGAAGTATATACATCAGAGTGGCGCAGCGGAAGCGTGGTGGGCCCATAACCCATTGGTCCGAGGATCGAAACCTTGCTCTGATACACGTTCTGCAATATGTTAGCAGAGATGTACTCACCTTTTTTAGTGCTCATCGCTAGGAGTATTTTCTGATTTGGTCCTCTCAAGGTAAAACCAGAAAAAGCAGAGTTATCAAGCTGGGACCCCACTTGATCTACCCCCTGACTTGCCCGAGGGGTTGGTTTGGGACTAGAAGGGATGGTTTCCGGACAGGGCAGGTTTCGAAACGTTACGGAATGTCAATTTATACATATTGTTGGTGAAATAAATCGACAGGTGTTATAGTAGACTAAGTATAAAACTATCAACACAAACACGGTAAATCCTCAAGTGTTGGTCCAGGTGTTGAGTGACCCGCTGGGGTTGCCCTTGAGATCTTCAGGGAAGGGCCACAGGTGCAGAGCCTGGGGGGCTATGGGCGCACTTATCCGCTATTCAACAAGCCCTTTTAACCCAGTGGTTAGTGACTAGGTTTCTGACATGGTATCAGAGCCAAAGGTCTTGGGTTCAACTCCCAGTGCCAGCGCTGCAGAGGCGCTCGTGTCATCCACCTATCCCAGCGGGGGGGGGGGGGTGTTGAGTGACCCGCTGGGGTTGCCCTTGAGATCCTCAGGGAAGGGCCACAGGTGCAGAGCCTGGGGGGCTATGGGCGCACTTACCCGCTATTCAACAAGCCCTTTTAACCCAGTGGTTAGTGACTGGGTTTCTGACACCAGGATCTTTGCTGGAATGGTAGACTAGTAAGACAGCGGAAGTCTTGTAAAGGTCAAGGTTGAATAACCTGAGTACGTGAACATGTGAGTAATCACAGATCTTAGAATAGAAGAATTGATGAATAGAGAGAGAGTACAAGGGTATATACCTAAGAGTGTTGTGTCAAAGTGAGAACGAATGATTACTAGAAGTGGAAACCTAGAACAAATACTAGTTGGTTGTACTCACTAGAAGCATACCTCAGTCTAGCCTATAACTTCTACATAGATAATATGTATAAGTTGACACACCCCCTAGGCTAGACAAGGGGTGAAACTAAACAAGAAGCAAACAGCTCAGGGCGGCACTACTAGTCCAACCACTGAGGCAGGGGTCTGGAGACCAGTCAGCAAGAATACAACCCAAACTGAAGCAAGCCAGGGTGGCACTACTAGTCCAGCCACCGGAGGTAAGGCCACAAGGCCAGTCTGACAAGCATATATAATAGAGAGTACACAATCAGGATCCTAACAGGGGAGCAGCTACAGGAACAAGACCAAGCTGTACACAGTGCCGCTGATGATCTTTAGGCGCAAGCGCCTTAGTAAAGATATCAGCTGTGTTGGCACCTGAGGCCAAGTGAACTACGCGGGCCTGGCGGCGCTGCTGTAGCTCGCGCAGGAGGAAGTACCGCAGCTGGATATGCTTCGCTCTGCCCTCAAGCCGAGGCTCCTGGCACAGGAGTATCATGGCCCTGTTGTCAGCGTACAGGACCGGGGCAGAGCTAGGCTGCTCACCTAAGTCTGTGAGCAAGAAGGTCAGCCAGCGGAGCTCCTGTGCCGCCATGGCACCAGCGTAGATCTCAGCCTCACAGCTAGACTGAGCCACAGACGACGAGCGAGTGGATCTCCAAGAGATAGCACCCGAACCAAGGCTGAAACAGTAGCCCTACCACGACCTGAGCGTCTCAGAGTCGTCTGCCCAAGAAGCGTCTATGTGCCCAGTAAGGACCACTGGCATGCGTCCTCCTAGCACTAACCCCATGCCTGATGTACTAGCAAGATAACGCAAAACCCTCTTAGCGGCAGACGAGTGCTGAGGTCGGTGTCTGCCTGTAGCCACAAAGCGAGCCAGGATGCTGAGAGGGTATGCGAGATCTGGGCGAGTGCAAGTCATCAGGTACATGAGGCAACCCACCAGCTCTGCGTAGGGGCCACTGGGCTCTACTGGCTCCTCAGGAACGGGAGCAGAGAGCCCATGGTCTACGGGTAGAGGTTTGGGCTGTGCGGAGGAGAACTGAAGACCGAACCTCTGAAGGACCTGACGCACCAAGTGTGACTGGGTCAGAGTGATGGTGCGTGCTGCTCTGTCCCTAGAGATCTGCAGGCCAAGATAGCGACGCAGCTCTCCAAGGTCAGTGCAGGTGTGTCTCTTCAGCAGCTCAGCCTTCACAGAGGCCAGTGCGTCCCTGTCAGGAGTAGCGAAGACCAGGTCGTCTACGTAGACAAGGATGTAGAACGGAGTCTGGCCGGAACGCACAAACAGTGAAGGGTCAGCAGAGGAGGGAAAGAACTGCAGGTCTGCTAACGTGGCACGTAGCGTGTCGTGCCACTCGCGGGGAGCCTGACGCAGGCCGTAGACCGGGCACCTGAGAAGCCACTGGGTCCTAGGAGGGAAGGTACCAGTGAAGCCCTGTGATCGGCGCAGGTAGACCTGCTCGTGTAGGCTGCCCTGATGAAAGGCAGTAGAGAAGTCGAGGGAGTGAAGCTCGTAGTCACGCTGTGCTGCTACGTGTAGCAGCGCCCGAAGAGTGGTCATCTTCGGGGTCGGGGCGAAGGTTTGGAAGAAGTCAACCCCCTCGCGCTGACTGAAACCTCTGGCCACGTAGCGCGCCTTGAAGACAGGCGGCTCTCCCGGGGGGCGCTTCACCTTGAAGAGCCACCGACCATCGACTACGTTCACCCCAGGCGGGGGAACTGCGTCGACGTAAGTGCCGGTGGACCTCCAAGATGCCATCTCCTGCTCCATGGCAGCTATCCACTGAGAGGCCCAAGGTCCCGAGGTGGCCTCAGCGTAGGTGCGAGGGGTCGGGATGTCGAAGGCGTCTGGGTCACCCTCAGGGACTAACAGCATGGAGCAGAGATGGGGAGCAGCCTCGGAAAGGAAAGCCAGCTCGTACTGCCTGTCCTCTAGGACGTCACTGCCAAGGGCAGGAGCACCCCCGACGGACGGAGGACGGGCAGGGTCAGAGACCAGAGCGGAGGCGTAGTCAAGGCGGCGGGTAGAGGCGAAGTCAGCGACAGCAGCGACAAGCGCGTCAAGGCGCGAGACAGGAACAGCAGGGTCGGTAACAAGAGAGGCAAGGACCCGAGGGACAAGGGGACGAGCAGCACGGAGGTAGTCAGAGAACGGAGGAGGTGCAACAGCAAGGGATGAGGGAGGAGGGGACGGGAGGAGGGGAGGACGAGACGAGCGGGAACGGAGCAACATAGGGTGGGTGGGCAGGACAGGAGAGACGGGACGAGCACGGGAGGGACGGCGAGCCCAAACGTGAGACGGAGGTGTAGGGTCAGGGGACAGCGGAGGAGACACAGGAGGGGAACAAGAAGGAAGACGTGCCGGAGACGAGTCCGGCGGCGGGAACACAGGACCGTAGACAGGAAGCTCAGCAGGCGGTGGGGGAGACACCGGCGCGCGGTCCGGGGAGGGAAGGCCGAGCAGGCGGAGAGCGGAGACCGGCGGCGACGGCTGCTGTGGCGGCGACGACGGCTGGGCCGGAACTCTCGGACCAGCAGAGGCGGAACACTCAACAGCAGCACCCCCAAAACCAACACCCCCAGAGCGAGAACCCCCTCCAACACCAGCGGCACCCCCAGAAGCCGCAGGACGAACACCCTCCTCCACACCAGCACCCCAAGGGGCCAAGAGCGGCGGCGGCAGTGGCGGCGACGGCTGCGGCGGCGGCGACAGCGGCGACGGCTGCGGCAGCGACGGCGGCGGCGGCGGCGACGGCTGCGGTGGCGACGACAGTGGCGATGGCTGCGGCAGCGACGGCGACGGCGGCGGCAGCGGGGTCGGCGACTGCGACAGTGGGGGCGGAGGCACCGGGGAAGGGGGACGCGGCAAGGACGGACTGGGGGTACCACCAGAGTCAGCAGACTCCTCAACGGGGACAACCGACGGGAGGGGAGTGACGTGAGAGACACCAGTCGGGGCAGGACGAGGCGGGAGAGGGGCAGGGGCTACGTGGGGAGAGGGAGCAAGGAACAGGGGGGGGGCAACTGGGAGACCTCGGTGAGGGAAGCGGCGGTAGAAGGAGAAGGACTCGTCAAAGGTGACGTCACGAGAGTGGAGGAAGCGGTGAGACGGCGGGTGGTAGAAAAGCCAGTCAGACGAGTCCAGGGGGAAACCGAGGAAGACACAGGGGACAGTGCGGGCAGTGAGCTTGTCCGTGCCAGAGGCACGAACGTGAGCAAGGCAGCCCCAGACGTGGAACGCAGACGCGTTACCGGGGGACCCGGTCCAAAGGAGGGTCGGCGAAACCTGCGGCCGCTGGGAGCGTGGCCACAGGTTAAGCTGGTGAGCAGCGTAGCGAACAGCGAACGGCCACAGAAAATGGGGGGCATCGGCATGGATCATGGAGGTACGGGCGACCTCCATGACCAAGCCGATGCGGCGCTCAGCAACCCCATTTTGCTGTGGCGAGTCCGGCAACGTGTACGACTGGGTGATGCCCTCCGCACGACAGAACTGTCCAAGCCGACCAGAGGCGAACTCGCCGCCACGGTCGTAGTGGAGACACAACACGGGGAGACCGCGGTGGAGACGCGCAGCCACAACCCACGGGAGAAGAACGTCGGGCACGTCGGCCTTCCGCTCCAGGGGAAACACCGTGGTGTAGCGCGTGTAGTCGTCGACGAGCACAAGGAAGTAGCGCTCACCGCGCGGTCCGGGGACGGGGGCAGGGCCCCAAACGTCCAGGTGCAGGGTCTGAAGGGGGGCGGTAGCAAGACGCAGCGAGGAGGAGTGAGGAGCACGGCGGAGCCGACC